ACGCCCTGGTGCCAGCGATGCCTAACAGCCTTCCCCTCATGCAAATGGAATGAGACCATCGAGCATGTCTTCATGCAATGCCTGGTGGCGCTGCTGACATGGCGGTGGTGGGACCGTATATGGCGAAAAATGCTGCCAGATACCCCCTGGCCATGGTCCTGGCAGGCGATATTGACTGGACACAACCCTGCTATGGCTCAATCATCCTCATTTACAGAAAACATGTATAGATTAGGCAGAAGATCGATCCTCTGGGCCCTCTGGTGGCATCGCTGCCTACTAGCAATGGAAGGGGCCAGGGTAGAAGAGAGGGAATTGGTAGAACGGATCAAAGAGCAGATCCAGTTGGAGCTCATACGCAGATGGCAAACCCTCAAAACACAACTGGACACATTTCGAAGTAGCCAGGACATTAAGCAAGCGCTCACAAACTTTTGTGCATACTAGCTGGGAGGGAACCGAGGGGGATGGATTGCTCAGATACAGTGGGAAGGGGACTGGAACAGCGGGACAAAGCACGAGCAGGAGCCCTGCACAGATTGCAGGCTTCTCTTTAATGAGTGGACCACTGTCGAACCCTCCTTCCCCATGAGACCACCTTCTGACTTCCCGGATCCTTTCCCGCCCCATCCTTTCTCCTTGGTAGAAACCCTTATCTGATACTTAAAGGCCAGAATCCGCCCCTGGTACCCCTGGGGGTGGACATTCCCTGCAGATGCGGAAGACTATGGACAGCGGCGGTTGACGATAAGGATCAGTGTTGAAGCAGTCATGAGTCTACAATATTGCTGCCTGAGTGAACAAAAGAGGGGAGGAAGGAGCTAGTGGGTAATAGTGGATATCTGGCGCCTGGTACAGGGCGAACAGGTTCTCTCCCCCTTCTCTCCAATGACCTGCTCAGTCAATCCTCTGGGCTCCAGAGTAATTAATGCTGGCAGGTACCTCTCAAGCTTCGTGTCCTGATATCACTCAAGACTATTCTGTAAATGGGACGCTGAACCCGCTTTCCGGCAGGTGACGCTCCCCATCAATAGATGGAGTCTCTCCAAAAGTGCTAGCGGTGTCTGCTCTTATCAGCACCACTAGCACTGAAGGAGGTGTTAAAAAAAAAGAAAAAAAAAAGCCCATTATGGTGGGCGGTGGGGTTTCGTAGGGGGTCGACGGAGATTGATGAGCAGACTGCCCTACCTCGCGAGGAGGTGGGTGGGTTTAGCGGGGTCCTTGACCCCTGCCGCAGGGGAGGTAGGGGATCTCTGTTGATCGCTGAAGATGTGATAGGCATCCGTCGTTTTATCTGTACTTTCAGGTTCTGCTATCACTCAACAACGATTTCGTCAAAACGGACATTTTATATTTTTTGAACGAAATTTAAATTGTCATTTCCGTGGTGATTTAGGGTCAAAAATGCATTTGAATTTGGGGTATGGGTATACATGCAAGGGTAAGGGGTAAGGGGTAAGGGGGTTGGGGGTAAGGGATAAGGGGTAAAAGACAAGGGGTAAGGGTCAGGAACTTGGAGCAATGGTTGTCATCTTCTATACACTGTTTTCATGACAAACAATTTAATGTTACCCACATCCATCCGCATGTAATCACAATATCCAGCAGCAGGTTCATACTACTCGCGAGCCACTGTGTCCAAAGCCATTCGACGACGTATTGCGGGTATGTCATCAGCGGTGAAAGCGATAGGCGAAAGGTGACCCCTTGCCAATAGCGATGCGTATGCGAGCATGAAGACCCCACACGAGCTAGTGTCACGTTGTTTCGGGACGCCCTCTACGGTCCATATGTGATTAAACAGTTTCGTGTCCACCTCTTTGCCTTGCTGAATCGATCTTTTAAACAAAAACTTTGCAAATCCGCCGGTCACTTTGGCTGTCAGTTCTTTGTCGGGGCTGAGGGAGTCGTAAAATTCAAATTTCCTCCTCCTGAAGTCAGCCACAACGAGGGTCTAGTGGTTCGTGTGTGCGATATGGAAAGGGGCAATTATCAAGTCCATGTCACTTATTATAATGTCATTCGACCAGTGCTGCACCTCTCGCTCTTAATATCTCATTTCGCTGTCGAAAAGTCTAGCGAAGAAAAACGAGCTCAGCACTGATATTCTAGGAATGCGACCCTTTCCGATTCTAATCACGGTTTCATTCTCGGAGTCGCATTCTACATGTGTGATTCTACACCAGTTGTCTAGTTCGATGAGGTTCAAGTAGAAGTTGACGACGTTGTCATTTAACGAGTTCCGCTCATCGACTAGTAAAATAAATTCGTCTCGAGTTAGTTTCAATACTTCGTTCATCCCGTGATTGTGTGTGCTCGCTATTGGGAACCTTTTCCCGTACTCTCGGCATACATGTGAGAGTGTTTTCATCTCTGATAAAGACGATGTTGCGAGGCGCATTGTCCACCTTCTTTTGCACTTTCTTGTATCCGTTGTTGTAATTTGCACTGCACACGACAAGCACAACGAATACGACATTGACGACGGTGTAAACAACGGTGACCGAGGCGGACAGGGGTGTAAAAAATGGTCGCCCTTACAGGAAAGTAAGAAACGGGTGAGCAGGAGGTGTAAAAAAGGGGGAGGACGACCATTTGAGATACTTGTACATGGGCAAGTGCCTTAGCAGAAGATGCTAAACAGAAATGATGTATTCAAGATACGTCATCAATGTTTCACTAAACTTACACTTAGATGAACGACAACACTTCGGGACCAATCAATCCTGACTCCTGCCCCCTTTCATCACCGTACCCCAACGGCATACATGCATATACACAACGCAGCATATTGACGAATATAGAGAGACACACATGCATACTACGACGCACTCTTGTTCACCACACAATTTTCTTGTCAACAATTAAAAGGTCAAATCCTGGAAATTGAACACTAATGAGTCTGCAGGTCGATTGTACACAGGAAGAAATTCCGCCCACAAACCCAGATTTCAAACAAATGAGTACACACATGAAAACATTAAATTTTCCCGCGAAGAGGATTCCCCTCAAGTTCATTCCCTGTCTCACCCCTCATTTTCGGCACGCGTGGGATCGCTCACGCCCTTTCCGCCTTCTACCCCATCCTCATCGTTTGTCGTCATGTCCTCAATATTGCGAGAACGTGGAGACCCCCCTGCATTTCCCCCATTCCCGTCATCCCCTGTGACCCCTCCCTGTGGTGTTGTTGTACAGTGTGCGTCACCTTTGCTAGTGCATGTGGGCGGATGCAACGACATCCCCGTGACGCCCATCCCAGCAGTGGACGCTGACACCATCTCCGATGTGCCTGCCAGCGCCGCACCTGTCGCGAGGAGACTCTCGTGTGTGGCGCCCGCATCCGCCGGCTTGTCGAGTGACACTTTTTCACCTTGTGATGTATCCCCCGTTGCGACAGAGATGGCTCCGATGGTGTTTTTGCCTGCGGGCGTGTTSCCCGCCTCTGGCAACGGAGGCTTCACGCCGAACGTCKTCCCGCCATCTTCCCTTTRTTCACCCATCGTGTTCCCTGTGGCCGCCTCRGGCACAGGGGCGRCATCTTCTCRGGAGTCCACGTMCATGCTCTYGARCGCGGYGGCGCGCYCAACCTTCYAGTCAATCTTGCCGTACGAGGGGCTCGACTTCCGCTCGTAAAACTTGTGTGAATACTCTAACTGCCGAGTGGCTCCCAAGGCGTCRAACAATTGTTTCGCCTTTGCCGCGATGGATRTTKYACTCTCCCYGGGGTTCTCTTTCYGACARCGGTATAGTATTGATTGCTCYKTCRTCTTCARCCAGTTGTCCTTTCCCATGYGGGGAAACGGTCTCCAACSYTTCGAGACATACTTCACCRCCATTTTCCACTCCCCGCCTTGGATACATAGCTCAAAAATGTCGTCATGACAAATGATATCATGGCCCCACTTGTCCTCACTAGTGCAGGCGTATTTGTCATCCAAGAAATACACATTGTTTGCATCCGCACAAAATCTGGGAGGAATCGGATCGCCTGGCGCCAGCTTCGTTGGCTGAGCAGGAATATCAAGGTCATCGTCTTCGTCGTCTTCCACAGGCGTACATACAACCCGGTCCACACCCGAGGCCACACTGTTYGCGGGTGGCAGGTTCGAGCATCCCTCTGATTGACCCGRTCCATATCCCTTGACGCTGTGCTCCATGGCAGCGGACTTCCCACACCACCCGGTTGCATTGGTGTCCTTTTCGATCTCGAGGTCGGAGTCCGACGAGTCTTCCTCGCTGTCAACGGGGTTAAAGCCTTCACCCAATTTAGCGAGGTCTGCATAGTCCTTAAACGTCAGTTTATCTTTGTGAAGATCAAACCTCAAGATCTCGCATCGAGCAACGAATGTCTCGAAGGCGCCAGTTAGAGCACCATGATAATGTTTGAGGGCCTCGGTCACCTTGGCTTTCCTATATATGTATCCCCAATCAAGGCATCCATCCGGCGCATCGCGGAACAGGTATTCCCACACCTTCAGTCTTTTCGGTCCCAACTTGTGGTACATATCCCTGTTCGTGCGATGTGTGGCACACGGCTTCTCGAGGCGGCACTCGAATCTCCCATCCTTAACAAGTATGTCGACGAACTTTGTCAAGTATGCAATGTTTTTGGCCGACTCATCACAGGCAATGACATTATTACCTGCAAGCAATAACTTTCATACAAGACCTGCGTGCGCCCTACCCAGTAAAAGCACACCTTCCGCCTCTCGTACGAATGAACCGCACAACTTCCGCAACTTGTCAGGTTCTCGCTCCCAAATTGAATATGCGGCACTTTCGTCGTCTTCGACGCCACCGTGTTTTTCGAGACACTTCCCGAACTTTTTCTCCACAACATGCACTTCGGTGAGATCGTTGTGGAGTCGGGGTGCAACAGTTACTTTTTTCAGATCCCCTCCTTCAGCTTGCAACAAGATCGTCATCAGGTCCCGACTGCTCGTAGCGATGTTGCCGTACCTTGTGACGTCGCTCGGCGGCCTGTCCACGCGTTTCCATGACCCGGGGATGAGCTCGATGTCCTCCCAACGGTACAATTGACTCAAGACATCGCTTTGCACATTCTGCGGTGCAAAGAAGAAGAGGACCCAATTTGGACCACAACACTTCGCCATCATTGCGTACAGTGCATCGAAGTCCTGCGAGGTCCATGCACTGCTGAAATTCATGGCCGAGATGTCCACGATGGCGGCCCTGCATGCCATTTTTTGTGCGGCTGCGACGATGTCGACGGGCGCCACCATAACCTCCTTTGACCGCATGCATACAGTGAGCAATGTGGTCTGCCTGCCGAGTTTGTCCCACACAAGATGGCATGCACTGGAGGCGATCCGTTTCACCTCCACTCGAAGCATATCAAGCTTATCGATCGTGGTGTATATAAAAACCTTGAAGTGAAACGGAGCCTCCTTCTACATCACTTCTGTAGGCCCCAAACCCGCACCTTGCCTCGCCTCCTCCACTCCTCCAAGTCGCCGAGGGATCGTTTTCACTAAGTTGCTATGCAGCTTCTCCCGTTGCTTCTCCCATTCATCTGCGCATAACCCGTTTGAAGCATACCTCTCTTCCAGGTCCTTGTACGACATGAAGAAGTCGTCGTTCCATTCGTCCCCTGCCCTTCCCTTGGCACGAAACACGACGTAGTTGAACATGTGGACCATGTATCTCTCCTTGCGCATAATGTCGAGAAGGCACTCTGTGTTTACCCTCGGAGGCATGACTCTCACTTTTGTTGCCACCACTTTCCCCGACATGAGCAGGAGTAGCGCGACTTCTCTCTCGCGGCATGTCATGTCCCCAAAGTTCTTGAAGTACGTAGGACACAAATCCTTCCAGGACACGGTGGAGCCCTTGGGACCATCTCTCGCATATATGCAGTGGTACAAAGTCCATTGTCCCTTGTTCTCGTCAATGTACGGGCCGGGCAGGCGCCCCTCCATCCTTCCCGGCATCTCAAGTGGGATCTTGCCGTCGCCGATTGGAAGCTTACCGTCCTCGAACATCGCGAAGAACTTCTCCACCAGCGGCCAAACCGTGCGGGTGGACGTGGCGAGGTTCAGGTACCCCCGAAGTTTGTTACTCTAATCCTTGTTGTATTCGTTGTCGAGTGCCTGTTTCACGAACGCCTTGTCGCACGCCTTCCCCATACAGGCCCTCAGGAAGTTCTGCCACGTTTTCTGATGCGCAACGGCGACGGCATCCTTCTCGCTGACCTTAGCTTTGGGTGCCTCGATCCTGTTGTTATCGATCCACCATTGCCGCATATCACACACAGCGTCCTGGAAGGATAACATCATGGCACGATTCTCCCATGTGTTGTCGAAGAGGGAGACATTGAAGTACCCGTGTGTATGGTCATCATCGAAAAAGACGACTCGCACTTTAGAGTACGTGCGGAGGCCGTAGACTTTGACCGCGGGGGAGTCCTTTCCAACCAACCGTTTCATGGCCTCGGCAGTATGCTGACCGCAGACAGCGTACCAGTCGAACTCTGCAAAATCTCTTTGGAAGAACTCATCCGGCGTGATTCGTCTTCCCTGCCCCCCGACGATGACGTTGGGGTCAACCGGCGCAAAAACGAGCTCAGGTCTATCCCACACCCCCGGGTCAGCACTGATGGAGCTTTCTATGGCACTCTCGATGCCTTTCACAATGTTCTCAGACAACGAACGATGGTTAAAAAGGATCTTCCCATGGGGAATGGGTTTGATACTATTATCGTCGACGTTAACAACTTGGACGTTTTGTCTGGCGAAGCCGTGTTCGTCGTATTCAAGGAAGAAACATCGTGTCGTATCCACAGGCACAGCGTGCTGAACCATCTCTTCAATGTCTTCGGGCATGGCCCCACCCCCTCGCCCTCATCCCCCGAGTCCCGCAGCTCAGGTGCCCTGGACCTCTGCGAGCCTTTTCTACCGCCGCCGCGACCACCCCCGCGGCTGCCACTTCGCCCCCCCCCACCAGTTTTCCGAGGAGCCCGCGCTTCCTGTGGTGTCGTCAACGCTCTGTGAGCTTCATTGACGGCATCGGCCCTCGCCTGTTTTGTTCGACTTGCAGGAGAGGTCGATGCCTCTCCCCTCTTTCGCTTTCCCCGTGACCCAGGTTCGTTTCTCCCATCCTTCGTCTGGTCATAGGACTGCGACATTCTGCGGGAGGCTGCAGGCTGGCCACCAGCATCGATCGTGTCACCGACGCGGCAGGCGTCATCCTCACGACGCCCCTGCGATTCGTTGTGGTGGCCACGGTGCAATTGGGAGGAGCGATTGTCTTCGACTTCCTCACCAACATCGTCTCTCTCCTCGTCCATCCCATCGTCCTCACCTTCAACATCTCCTTCGTTACTATCGTCCGCCACACCACCGCCCTCCTCCTCCTCACCACCGCCCTCCCCCTCCTCACCACTGCCCTCCCCATCCCAACCACCGCCCTCCGCATCTTGGCCCTCGCATTCCTCGTCATCGAAGGCACCTGCACCTCCTCGGGAACGATGCTGGGGACCAGCTCGATAGCGCACAGCTCCGTCGTCGTAGTGTGTGGCCTCGCTGGACTGCTCGGCCGCATCGCGACCTTGCCGATGCGAGGGCGGAACCGGAGCGGGCAGAGCCTGGACAACCGCAGCCGACGAAGACGGGGCAGTCGACAATTGCTTCCTCTTTCCACCCGCTCTGGCCGGCTGATCTTGGCGCCGTTTGGGCCCCGCAGCCGACGAGGACGGGGCGTCAATCGGCACGAAAACACGGTCAACTTGCTGGGCATCAGGCAGCCTCGCGAACTCTTCCCTGTATCGCATAACGAAAGCTGCGAGTTGGTCCGTCGGGCTGTTGAATTGGACCAAAGGTATGCTGAGCATAAAAGCGTTGTCGACGACAGGCAGCTAACCAGTCACGCGGTAGCCATTGGTTTTGAAAAGAAACTTTTTCGGATCCAGCATTTGGAACTCCGTTCCGTTCCCGCGCACGTCAAACGCTTTCATCGACAATGCCTTGACCCCGTATCCTTGGAAGAGCCGATGGTCAAGAGACACCTTCTTGTCTTCCTTGACCCAGTTTTTCCCCTCTCTGTCATAGACAGACGTAAGGAAGAAGGTCCTGAACTTCCTGTCGTCGTAGGTAAACCTCCCCGCTTCCGATTTCTCCACCCCTCCGCAGCAGTACCAACTCAGGCCATTGTCATCGCTCAAAAAGACAACGGTTCCTCAACCCGGCATATGACGGCCACCTACCCAATCAAGAGCCCATGGTTTGTCGTGGTAGAGCTTAGACCTGCCGTACCATTTTTCGGGGGCGGAGCCAGACACTGTTTTTCCTAAAGGGTCGCACAGAAAAAGACAACAAAAAAACAACACTAAGTGACATGAAGAAGCATCCGTCGCGGCACGGGAGTTTCGCCACCGCCCCACGCAGCGGGTTCGGCGTTCCTGGAACGCCGGACCCCACGACCGTTGTGTGTGCAGGTCCGGCGTCCCCAAAATAGCAGACCCCACCAGCGTGCCTGTCGGCACGGTGGTCGGCCGGACCCCTCCCTCACCCGCATCGTCGACTGAACACCGCGGCGTTTCATGTCCTTCCCTTCCCCTCCCTCTAGCAGCATCGAGCGGGGTCCGGCGTTGCCGGAACGCCGGACCCATGTCGGTGCTGCTAGAGAGTAAGGGGGCCCCTCCCTCCCCGTCGCTGGCAACAACACCAAGTTGGTCTGGCGTTCCGGGAACGCTAGACCCCCTTTGAGGTGCGGGGGAAGAAGTGGGTCCGTCCCATTCCCTCGATGGCCACAGCACAAAGGGGGTCCGGCGTTCCCGGAACCCCATTTGTGCGGCGGGGGAGGACGGGAACATCGGACCCCTTTTGTGCCGCGGGGGACGACGGGGGTCCGAGATCCGATCCGACAATGGGCATAGCACGAAGGGGGTCCGGCGTTCCCGGAACGCCGGACCCCCTTTGTGCTGTGGTGGATGAAGGTGGTCCGTCCCATCCCCTCGATGGCCACAACACCAAGCCTGCGCACCCCTCGCTCCCCCGAAGCGTGAAGGGGGTCCGGCGTTCCAAGAACGCCGGACCCCCTCTGCACTGCGGGGGGGGAAGAGGGGGTGGAACAAGGCGAGACGCACCGGTTCGATCCCCCGAAACGCGAAGGGGGTCCGGCGTTCCCGGAACGCCGGACCCCCTCCGCACTGCGCGGGGGGGG